GAAACTAGTGCATATAATAATCAAAACTCTATTAACAATATTAAGTTTATACATTTGTAATAACATAGTTCATTGTTGTTATTTCTGCTTGGGTGAAAAATCTGAAAGCAAAGTAGAAAACACTGCACTCAGCAAAAGACTAACAACAACCTGTACTTATATCAACAGCGTTTTATTGCAAATGCTGATTTTTCTTCTTCACACGAACAACATGAACAAACAGACTTTCCCATTTCTCCTTCTTAACGTCTCTAACTGCAAACAGTAACATTAAGTATGGCCCATGACAACACTGCTGTGTGTAACAGTGCAGGCAGAAAAAAGATGAAAACAACACTGTGTCACTTATTTTTTTTGTTTTTTTGTTTTTTTGTTTTAAAGGTTCGGCCATGATGTAAAAGCAAAAGTGAGACTCAAACCTTTGTTACTTGTCTTTGATGACTTGGCAGGTTACGATGTGCTGTCGTTTTTCATTTTTTCAAAGAATAAACCACACAGAGCTCAAAGCAAGCATAAATAACAGTACGGTAATCAATAAGTAAGTAATCAGCAACAGCAGTTACATTTATCCCTGTTTATTTAAAATATCCGATTAATACATCAGAAAAAAATCTGCAACGACAACCTCACATTTAAAAAAACAAAAACAATTGCCACAACTACTATATGTAATGAGCAATATTAGTTCAATAATCACACTTAGAATACAAATATAATTTTTTAAAACGCTTATTACGAATTATCCGTGCATTTACTGAGCACTGAATTATTATTAATATTAATTATGTCTACGCCATCATAATGTCTGTTATCAGCAGCAGAGAGGAACCAACTCATCCAACTGGCACTTAAAGACAAAAAGCAGAGAGGACAAATGTCTGCATCATCATTAGTCTATAATAGCAGACTACACCAGAAACATGAATGACAGCAGCTCATCCAGCTTTTATCCATCACAGTTCACAGATTACCATCTGTGAAACCCCAGATGTGAATGTAAATCCTGAGAAGAAGCGAGTGTTGTGAAAGGCATAAGATCATCAGTCCTTTGGCTGTGTCACTGAAGTAGTTTAAAATGAGTGTTTAAACTGGGCTTTATGAGCATTGTGTTAGCAATTACTGCAGGTGCCTAACACATCTGTCATATAGAAGCACCACAAACATTGCAGTAGATACACTGATTCATGCGCATCTCTTATGGATGATATAAAGTCAGTTTAAGCCGCCAACAATAGTCAATTGCCACAAATATAACATAATAGCTTTACAAAGATATTTGAATTGGCAAAGAAGAACTGGATTCATTACAGTAACACTGAAAAATAAAATAACTTTCAACAAGTAAGTAACTTTTAACGGATGTGCACACACCAACATGGTGTTCGAGTGGAAATCCTGCACCGACGCCGGTAACGGGACTGCTGACGGCCGACACTCTGTATCACCTGACCGGTTCTTACATAGAGACTTTTCCTTAAATCTGCGGCAGGCGAAGAAGCAAGATCGGGGGGGATATTTCTGCTACAGCCAAGATGAAGACGGAGAAAAAAAGAGAGGGGGGATCCATTTATCGTTAGGCTGAAGGTCAAGAAGAGAAGCAGGGATCGCCAGCAGCGGTAAGTAGCCCATCATCTCCTTTTCCAGCCGGGTTTCACATTAGAGCAGTGTAACGACCAATTACAAAATAAAATAAAAATGGTGTCCTCTTATGATTGAACTCGAAATAGTATTTTCGGGGTTACAATTACAGTCGCACTTTCAAGACAAACCACTAACACGCATCGTGATACGTGATGAAGGAGATCACTCTCTTGGACAGTAAACTGATTCCAAAGGACGCTTTCGCCGTCTCGTCCACACGAAGTATTTTGCAGAGCAGCCGTGGCAGATTTTCTGGAAACAGGTGTAATTCGAGTTTCTTCCTCTCAAAATACTATTTTCACTTTAATCTCAAAATCATCAATCGTATATATTTTACTCCTACTACTCCTTATCGCACTGTCTTAGGTATAATAGGATCATTTTATTATATACACATCAATCGTCAATATTATATATTTTTATTAATGTGCCCTAGTACTCCCTGGTATAGGATCATTTGATTATATACATGTCGTTTTATAGTCAGCACCGACGCGTGTGTTAATCGCGATCGTGGTTCGTCAGAACTGCGAAGAAATCGGGAAATCGAGCTTGATGCTAATAATGAAATAAAATTAATAAAATTTGCAAATTCGTCCCGTGAAGTTATGTGAAAAATATTTTTAATATTCCCAGGAAAGCTGCGGCTGTGGTGTGTAAAGGCCGTTAGACTGCGGAGGCAAAGCAAGAGAAGAACAGGAGGCCAATTCAGCGCACAATATGTACACTGAGGATGCAGGAAAGGGACTTCATACAAGCTGTGTCACTAAATATTCAATGAATGTCTGAGTAATGAATAATTACTTCAGTAATTCATGATAAATATTATTCAGTCTACCTACAGTCCTTCTGTTAACACTATTATGTAGTCCCGCAGTGCTCCATCATGGAGCCTCCGTCCAATTATTATTATTTTTTATCTGGGACACATTTGAGTTAATGTAATTATCCAAAATTTCAAAGATCACAGTGAGCATTAATATCGCTAAATTCATGTTTTAAGTACAAGTTATGTTCGTGTTGCAGCTTCTTGTTTGAGGCCTGCGTGTGGCCCACGGGAGAAACCTCGGCCTCCTTTCCTCTCTGCAGAAAATCCAATCACTGATGCAGCTCGAAATAAGTTCATGTAATACAAAATTCTACCCATATGCATGTATTGCTAGTCAGCACTGTACTTCAGTTTAAAGTTCAGGTATATGTAATTTACTTCTACTTCCTATGTTGATGCAAGTATCTGTATTTTCTACTTCTGACATTTTCAAAGCAGGCTCCTTACTTTAGGTTTAACACATTTGACGGGAAGTTATTATTTCATGCCACTGCGCGTATTCAACCACTCGTATAGTACATAATATATAAGTATGAATTTTATTTCAATAAAAAAACCTATGAATGTGCAGATTGCAGTTGTTGTTTCCAAACAAACTGCTCCTATACTGTAAATCAGAGGTCCCCAACCTTTTTTGAGCCACGGACCAGTTTAATATTGTCACTGAGCGGCCTTTAAGGTGTCGCAGATAAATACAACAAAATAAAATAACACGACCAAGACAAAAACGGTGGTTTTTGTCTTCATTCATTCATTCATTCATACATACATACAAACAATACAGGAATTCACTGTGTAATTGTGTAACTTTATTAGCAGCGTCACATCCTCCTCTCTGCCCCTTAATGCTCTCTGGTCGCTATGATAACGCGTAAATATTTCTTTCAAAAAACGCACAACCACAACGCAGGAAAAGACAGAGTTAACGATAAAAACCAAAACCATAAGAGTATGCAAACGGCTACCAAACAGCCATCATAATTCGTCATACAATGAGAACAGGACAAATCAACAATTGACAATGACTAATTAATATTAAAATCTGTAACATAATGTTTGGAGTTTTACTATTTTTACCATTTCTTCTTGGAGCAACTGTAATCCACATTATTTTCTTAGGGATT